TTGTTATGTGTATTAAATAAATAAATATATATATATTATATAAAATGTGTGACCAATGAGTGTTCCAAAATGTTAACAGAATTTTAAAAAAATTATCATTAGTGATAGTATTAAGTATAATGCATTCTGGGCTCCAGACTGAGTCACTTAGTATTTGACACATATGTTCTCTTCTTTCCAGCTTTCATCCTAGCTCTTTCTTCTGCCTGGAATGCCATCCTCTCTAACTCAGCAAACACAAATTCTAGTTATCTTTCAAGGCCCAGGCCTCATGTCATCTCATCTAAGACTCTGCCGACCATTTCCACTTGAGGTAAGTGCCCTTTCATCTCCCCTCCATGGCCGTGTAGCCACTCCTCTCCCACTGCACTTCTCAGAGTCACCCTGTTTAGTTCTGTAGTCTGTGTTATTTTCTACTAGTTTATTAGCGCTACAGGGGACTTAATCTGAGGACATGATTTCTCACATTATACATATCAGACATTTCTTGCTGTGATAATGCTGCATAAAAAATCACCCCGGAACTCAGTAGCTGAACACAATATGCATTTTCTTTTCTTGCTCATGGGTCATTGGATCTGCTGCAACTCAGTTAAGTTGGGCAGGAGTCAGGCTTTGGGCTCCAGACAGCAGGCTCTAGGTTCCAGGCTGTACATCTCTCCATGAGTCTCTCACCCACCTTGGACTGGGGGCTACCTGAGGGATGTTCTTCTACTGACTAGTGGCAGGAGCACATAAAAATGAGTAGAAGTAAGCAACGGAACGAACTGGCACACTGTAGCAGCTGCCCACGTTGGCAAAAGCCAGTCTTATGGCGGAGCTACCATCAGTGAGGCAGGGAAGTCCAGGTCACCTATGGTGGTGGTGCAAAGACAAAAGGCAATTCTATTAACAGAGAAGAAGTAAAGAATCAGGAATAATGCAACTAGCACACTATGTTTACTATAGAACTCCTTCTTTTAAGGACTTTGGGAAAGGAGAACTAAGACAGTGAGGAATCATTGAACAGATTTTTATGACCATAAAAAGATAGGATTTGCATTTTAGAAGATCATTCTTGGGTGTGTGGAGAGCATGGATTTGAATGTGAGAGCAGACTGGCTACTAAGGAAGTAATTACGAGAACCCATGGGGAACATGCCAATACATTGTGTGGCTATGGGGCTGGAGATAATGGGATAGGTCCTGGAGACCATTAAGTAGTAAAATTGGATGGATTTAGTAATTGAATAGACAATGTAGGCAAAAGAGAAAGGGATACTGAGAACAGCCCCAAGTTTACACTAGGGTCGTATAATTCATATAGAAAGGGCCACACCACTAAGGCTATTATTTGGACGATCATGCAAATTAAGTACAATGGACAACATAGAACATATCATAATAATGTCTTAAGTAAAGACACCTTACAGAGCACCTTCTCACACATTTCATCTTCGGGGCAACTTTCTGTGTGCATACGTTCCTCTTTTTCATAAGAGAGAAATTAAAGTGCAAAGAAGTTACAGGAATATCTGAGCAAATAAGTTAGATAAATGCAGACTTAAATCCATGTTTTCCAATTCAAAATCTGCCCATCATTCCATAAAATATCTTATTTCTTCAATCTGTAACAGGAGAAAAACGACCATGGGCCAATTGGGCAGAAAGATTTAAAATAAAATGAGGTATTTGGAAAGCTCTAGTAAGTAATAATTACTACATCTATCCCCAGTAATCTTCTTCTAAATCACATATTTTATAATTGTCCTTATAATTTTTATTGAGCCTTTCATTGTTGTCTCCCTTTTATAGCAATTACATCATGCTACACAAATGCAGAAATCATGCCAGACTTTATTTCCTTCTTGTCCTTTATTTCTACTTTTTATTCTTTCCTCTTTTCCTTTTCCCTTCCTTTCTTCCTTTATTCCTTGCACCCTTCCTTTCTCCTTTCCCTCTCGCCTTTCTTCCTTCTCAGTCTTCCTTCCATTTTTCCTTAATTTTTGCTTTACTTGTTTCTTTTTCGTAAATATTATCTCCACAGCCCAACTACGAACTCCTTGAGGAGAAGACTCTAACTCAGTGTTGCGCCCTTCCCAAAAGGTCAGTAAATACCCTCCGGTGGACTGAAGAACAGTCTGTTCCATCCTCACATTTCCCACTGTGATGGAAAACACTCCTCCCGAGATAGAAGAATTACTTTCCATCTACCTGCAATTCTCTAAATATCCCCTGTCATTTCCTGTCTTCATGTCTTTCTCTTTGTGCCTTCATCTTGTCCCTCCCCTCCAAGAGACTTGCGTCCAACATAGATGATCCAGTCAGCATTCACAATACCCTTTTCCTTATCTACCACAGGTGACTGGTCTAGGAGGGCCATTTGACAGGAGAAAATGGAAATTGCTTGGGCTGAGAGCTTCCAGAAATGTTTGGAAGGCACCTAAGCTGAATGCTTCTCCCTGGGCCTGTTGTTCATTCTTCTTCCTGCCTGGAAAGTGGAGCATGATCCTTGGAGGTGGAAAAGCCATCAAGCAACTGTGAAAATGAAAGGCATACATTATGGAAAACAGAGCCAAGCCATGAAAAGAGCATAACTGAGCTGCTCTTAGTCCATAGTGTCCCTGGACTGCCTGCTCTTAGATTTCTTATTGTTAGAGATAAATACAACACCTTTTTGTGAAGCTTAGCATTACTGATATACAAGTGTTTAATTAAGTCTTACTTCTAGGTGATTATCTTCTCAGAGTCTCCTAATTAAAATTTTCTCATATCTTTATATTCTCACCACATTTTTGTCTTCATGTGAAATCCTTTTGTTTATTCCTCTATATTGTCTGTTAGACTGTAAGCTTTGGTGCACAAAGACTCTTATTCATAAGTATTCATCCCAGGGATCCTGGAACAGAGCCTCAAAATAATAGGGGCTGAGCGACAGTTTTCTTAATTGAATTGAATTGAATTGAATTGAATTGAACTGAATCAAACTGAATTGAATAGTCCTCAATTCTCCCAGTCAATGGAAAAAGCAATCTACTAGGGGCTGTTCATCAGTCCTTCTTAACCAGTTCCCTTCATTTGCTGCAGTGATGTGTGTGGCACAAAACTCAAGCCTAGACAAGAATGCATTTTACCCCCTAGACCAAAGAATAGGCGTAGTTGTTTTGTCTGTCCTACATCTATTTTCTTGGCATCTATTATTTCATATTAAACATCTTTCTCAGTATATTGATTTTTCTTTTGCAGAACTCCTTCTCCCCACTGACTTTCCAAGTTTCCAGTTTTCAGAAATTGGCACATGATCCAGGACTTGCCATGTATTCTAACCATTTGGCCATGGTTATTGGCTCGGTTATGGGTATGTGACCCAAGATGAGCCAGGGACATAATTCTGAGATCTTGTCACCTAGGTGGGAATGGGAGTGTTCTCTGTGCTGAGAGTGATAATGGTAAAGACAGTATAAACCTGGAGCTTCCAGAAATCCCAGTATGGACATCATAGGTCTGTGAATGAAGCCAAAACAGAGGAGGGCAGAACCAAGAAACTGGGAGGAAAGGGGAGGGAACAGGTCCTATGTGTGGTGGTATTTAAGTTCTTGGATCTAGAACATGATCCCTAAACTCAGACTCACACCAATAAATACTAACTGTGTGGGACTTGGAAAATGTTACTTAACCACTCTGTTTCCTCATGTTTAAAAGGGGGATAATAATAATACTTTAATTTAATCCTTATTTTAATCCTCATTTTGAGGATTAAATGAGATAACACATGTAAAGATCTTAGAACAGTGCCTGACATACAGTGCATGATCAATAAATGTTAGTCATTATTAATATAGATATTTTTATCCATGGCTTTTGAGTTATGACAGCAGTAAATTCTTTTTTTATGTTTTGCTTAAGCTGGTTTGAGTTGGGTTTCCGTCAGTTGCAACCGAAGGATCTTGTCTAATACAATTAATATAAAGTGTAAAGCCCAGAGTGTATTGGTTTATGGCAGGTCAAATTCCCTTCTGTAACATGAGGCAGAGAAGGGGGATTGAATCAACTGAATCTGGACCTTCTGGCTCTTCTTAGTTGATGTCTGTCTACAATTTTACCTGAGGTCAATGGACCTTCAGCTCCTAGTTAGGAAAAGATTGTCCTCATCACTATCCTATTCATAGTCACTAAAATCTTCTGTCTTCTACGTCACCAGTTCATAATATCTCTCATACGATTTATTTTAAAAAATCCTGAAAGTCAGATATTAAACATATCATAAACATATGAGAGAGATAAAATGAAAGAAAATATTTCTACAACTGGAATACATTTTCTATTATGTTTTATTTTTTAAGCCTTAAGCGGGAAACTTTTTCCTTACTAGTTTAGAGTAAATAATATTATAACTAGGCACCTATAAGTATGCTAACTAGCATACTTTTCCTGCTGGAGCTTTCTGGAGGGATGTGCAGGGGATCTGCATGCTTAATTCCCATTAGCACCTGTCACTGGGATTTACTATCCCAGAGTTAATTCTCCACTCACTGCCACCAAGAAAAAGGAAGCCCTTGCACGTGGATTTAAATGAAGCTTTTTATTTTTCAAAATGAGATGAATTTCAGTCTCTTCCATAAACACCTGCAATATTCCAACCCTGAAAAAGTCATATTTAAATTCATATTTGGTGAAAATTTGCCCAAACTTGATTTTATTCAACAACTAGAAAAGCCTAGTCATATTTTGAAAATTTGTCTTGGGGAAAAATTGTTTTAATCAAGGACTTAGTTCAGTTTTAAAATCCATTGGCTTTCAATCTGCCATTCAATATTCAATAAATGTTTATTGACCACCTATTATGTGACAGGTAACTTTTTAGATTCTAGGTGTATAGCAGTGAAAGTATTAGGGAAGACATCCCTCCCTTTGAGAAGCATGCATTCTATTGGAAAGTATATATAGATATACATACAGTTATAGGCATATGTACGCATATACAGCTACGTATATTTATACATAGATATATACACATATGTGTACATATATGTGTTTATATAAAATAAGTGCTATATGGAAAACCAAAGCAGGTGAATGCAATTGAGGGTGATGAAGTGGGTGCTATTTCAGGTAAGTTGGTCAGAGAAAGTCTCTCTAAGCAGTGACATTTGAGCCCAGATCTAAGTGAGGTAAGTTAGCAAACCCATGCTCATAAGCCTATGCAACACTGCATTATCTCTTTCACGAAGAAGAAAAAAATAGGCAGGATGTTGATACACAAGACAAGTTCCACCTGCAACCACAGGTTGTAGGAAACTCACCTGCGTGGTAAAGCTGATCCATTTGCTGGTGCTCTTCCTGTCCTTGTTCTTGCGCTCTCACTCTCCCCTGCCTTCCGTCTCATCTACTGGTCATTTCTCAGACCATTCTCCTGCCCTCTGTGGGCTGAATTTCAGTACTGAACTACTTTCCCCTTCTTGTCTCTTATTTTTCCTTTCAAAGAATTAATTCTATGCAGTGTCTGTCATTGGGCACTTCAATGCCCCAAACAGAATTATGTGACAATTTAATTCTGTTTAACTAACTAGACGCTGAGGATTCTTCCCTATCGAGCCTTTTTAGCAATCAATCAACCAATTTTGGGCTCTGTGTTAGGAGCTGGGGGTGAAATAATGAACAGGACATAGTCTCTGCCTTAAAAAGAGTTAAATTCTAGTTAGAAAAGATAGGCAATAAAATTGTAAGTGAAATAAATAACTTTTAGATGTTGATAATATGATAGTGAGCTTATGTGGGGGTTTCTTAGTATTTAAGCTGTTGCCCTTCTTAGAAAAACTGTAAAGACAAATATTAAATATAATCACAATGCCTTCTGGTGCTGTCATCCTCAAAATAAATGACAGGTTGTGAGTGGCCTAGCTGCACTGTCCAACATGGTGGCCACTAGCCATGTGGCTATTAAAATTAAAATTAATTAATTATATAAAAATTCCCAGTTCACACTAGTCACGTTGCAAGAGCTCAACAGTCACATGTGTCTAATGACTGCCATTTTGCAGAGCATGGATATGAACCTGTTCCTCAGTGCAGACAGTTCTGTTGGACAGCACTGGTCTGAACAGCATGCAGCTGAAGGGAATCTTGCATCAATGGTAAGCACAGCAGCTAACAATTTTGTGTCACTCACTTCATTTCAGTTTAACTCATTTACTTCTCACAAAACCCTATTAGATAGTTACTGCCACTAGATCCCTCTTACAGATTAGGAAACTGAGGCACCTAGCTTTATCGTTCAATATCTGTCAACTAGTAATAAGAAATGCTGAGGACTGAACCCAGACAGTCTGGCGCAGGAACCTACTCTCTTACCAAAATATCCCCATATCTTGGTATGGGGAAGCTGAAGAGGGTGAAGAAGAGATATTAGCGTGGCAGGCAGTGCCTCCATAGAAATAAGAAATGGCCAGATTTGTCAATGTCTTCACCAAGTGTGACATTTTCAGATCCATCAGACTCATCTAAGACAGGTCTTACTGGCCAAAGGTTTGCATGGAGCTGGGAGGAAGAATTATGGAATGTTAGAACTGAAAAGAACTTTGAAACCATCTAATCAAATATTTCACAGATGAAGAAACTGAGACATGCAGTTTACCTGACCTGTCCAGGATAACAGAGTGAGTGATGACCACAGCCAAGATTAGCCGCAAGCTTCCTGCCCATGTGGGTGTTTACACAGCGTCCCCTTGGCACCAAGAGCTTAAAATTTCCCTAATATATTTTTTGTTATTAGTTCGGAAATGTACTAATCTTGGGAAGTGGTTTTCTTCTTCCCAGTTTGTTAGCTGTGCCAGAGTGTATTACTGCCCTTTTAATCCATCCACTTTCCTTTTGTCTAGCATTCCCTTATTTTACCCATCCATTCTTACATTCCTCCCTCATCATTACAACAGGCATCCACAACCTAGCTACCCAGACACTTCTTTCCTGAAAAAAGGTAAAAATTCATAGCAGTTTGAGTCCTTACACACACTGTTAGCAATTTGGAAAACATGTCGTAGGTTCCACCATCACTTTAAGCGAGTCTCTACAAATTTTGTTGTGCATTGTTTGTAGGAGTTTCTCCCAGTATTATCTCATCACCCTGTACATACTCAGCCTTGCCAGCCACCAAGATGCACGCAAATAAAGCTCTGTTGAAGAATGAGTTTTCCTTGAGCTTTTAGTTTCTGTTCCACTACAGAGAGATCATAGGCGCCCAGAGCATAAAGCAGTCTGAGTGGCGCTGACAACCCCAGAACTGCAGCCGATTGGGGCACTGTACAAGCTTCATGCCTTCTTCCTCCCCACGCAGGACTTCAGCTCGAGCCGCACCCAGCTTAATCAATCGCAAGACCCGAAGTCGTGGAGCAAGTCCAGTCCCAGGGAGTCTGGCTCAGGCTTTGCGGGCGCCGTGGAGAAGCTGGCAGGCAGCAGGTTGAGCTCCACTGGACACAGCCAAGTGGCTCGGGGCGCGCCCGCTGCGCTCTCGGAGTCGGAGTCTGGCGCACGGCGGGAGGCAGGCGCGTTCCCACCCTCCGAAGCCGCCTCCTCCCTCTGGTCTCTCTCGGCTGGGCTTCCGCGGCTAAACCACCAGCCGGTCTCCACCTCCGGCGCCGGGCGCGCAGCTCCCTCCAATCCCGGCTTACATAACGCGGGCGGGCGCGCTCCCGCCGCCGCTTAGCCCCCAGTGGAGTTGGGCTGCGCCCTCCAGCCTCCTCGGCGAGCAGCTTCGCGCACCCGTGCGCCCCACACTAAGAGGTGACCCTTCTTGGCCACCCAGCAGCAGCAGCCGGGCCGTTTCTCCGCTGGTGTGAGAACACTGAGATTGGAGACGGGATCGCCTCACTGTGCCCAACTCCCTCCCTCCCTCCGCCTCCCACTCCCCTCTCAGCACCCCCCACCCTCGGGCCTGTGAACGTTCGGCACGGGCGAGGGGACCCTGAGAGCAGTCCAGGCTCGGCGCGCGGCGGAGCTGCGGCTGCTCTTGCTGCTGGGGGAGCGGCGCGGTGGCCGCCTTGCGCCTCCCGGACTTCCCAAGTGGGGGCAGAGCAGCCGCTCGCGGAGCCGCCAGTTAGAAGGCACAGGGAAAGAGGGACCTCCAAACTCCTCCTCAGCGTCTCCTCTCCACCCCCTTTTGGCCCCTGCCCTTGGAGAAAGTGGAGTGTGGCGCTTGGTTATCTTTATTTCTTCGAACTGCTTCGCGCTGCGCGGATTCAGCTGCCGCCCGGTGGGGCTCTCCGCTGTTTGCGCGTCTGTGTGGCTCCCCTCGGCACACCTCTGTCGACGATGAGGAAAGGTCTGCGGGCGACAGCGGCCCGCTGCGGACTGGGACTGGGATACGTGCTGCAAATGCTCGTGCTACCTGCCCTGGCCCTTCTCAGCGCCAGCGGCACCGGCTCGGCCGCTCAAGGTAAGGGGGTCCGCCGAGCTCCGCGGCCACCTCCCTTCGCTTCTTCCTTCCCTCCTTCTTCCTCTCCTCCTCCCCCGTTCTCCTGGCTTCCTTAATCCGCCTCGTTGCTCTCAACTGGAAATCACTTTAAATTCTACTTTCCCAACTAGTCAAGAAGCTTTGGTTATTATTATTTTTAATCTATCTTCCGAGATGGGCACGGATGGACCAGGGACGCACAGGGTGTGGACGCGCATCTGTCTCTGGGCATGTGGGCGCCTTGACTGTCTTTTGCACTTTCTGCTCCACACACACACGTTGTTGCATATTGTACACACTGAGGTTTGGAGAGACTCTCGGTGCGGGTGGCTGTGTGGCATGCCATAGATGCATCCTGATGCGCAGAGGCTCCCCGCGCTGTGCCACGTCTGGCGTTGCGGGATCTTCAGTAAGTCTCTGAGCACGCCCGACGTCGAAGGGCGCACAGCTAAGGAAATGTGTCCATAACGGCCGAGGACCCACAGGCGCCGGTCCCCTCGGCTGCCGCTCGGGGCTCTGTGGAGATAGCACAGCGCGCCCGGACCCGCGACACAGCCTGCCGCAGGCCCCGGGGGGTGCGCGCGCCTGCACGCTTACCCGCCGCGCGTCTCCCTCCCATCAGGCGACGGAGAAACTTACACCCCCAGAGCTTGGGGGAAACGGACTGGTTGTTCAAACCAAATCTGAAACTCCCCGCGGTAACCAGTCAGTTTATAACTCTGACATTTTAATTTAATGCGTCTAAGCTTTAAAATGAGTGTCCGCGGCCCTGGGCAAACCCTGCAGGGGGAGAAGAGCGGCCTGGAGTTAGGGTGGGTAAGGCAGGAGGAGAGGCATGGGGGCAGTTCTCCTAGCTGCCTCCTGTCTGCCGAGTTTGAAGTGGTAGCGGCAGCTCGCAGCCTTCCGCGCTGGGGAAGCTGCGTGGAAAGGAGATGGAGAGGAAGGAGCCTACGCTGCGCCCCCGGGGTCTCTCTCGGGTCACCTGGGCCTCCAATCTTCTGACCATGCCCAGCGCCCACCTGGGTCTTTTCGCCCCGTTCTGTGGTGGTCGCTGGCTCAGAGGAGGCAGCTCAACTTTTCTTTGGGGTGGGGTGGGGGTGGAGGGAGCCTATGCAGCGTTAGGTGGTAATCCGGAGATCCCATCATCTCGGTTACACTTCTTTCCAAATTTGGAGAGCAGTGGAGGCGCGGCGGTAGCCTCAACTCCCCGGGCTCAGACAGTGGAGATCCCCGACAGCATTGCCTCTGCTCTGCGAAGGCTCTGGGGGCAAGGGCGTTGGAGGTGGAGGGGGCGCTGGGCGGAGGCGAGTGTGGTCCGGGTGGGGAGGTAAGTGATTAGCAAGGCTTTGTGAATTAGCAATAGCTACTTCGGGAGTAAATTTTCCTGCTGCCTCGCTAAGTGGCCACGCTCATAAATCCTTCCTTCCCTTCCTGCCAGATGCCTCCCATCCCCAAGGTCCTGCCCTGGTTTTCTTATGCATACTTCCAGAGCTCATCTGTCCATTTTATAAAGGAATCTCCATTGAGAAGCGTATGAACTTGTAGGTCTCCTGAAATCGAGAAGCTCTCGGGGCTGCAGCCAAGGGTGCTTAGAGGAGGCTGTTTGGAAGTTTAAGTGAGCAACCTGATGAATAGTTGTGGAATCAACCGCGTGACTCCCTGTGGAATTCGCCTGCTGTTACTGGGCACACAAAGGGCTAAGCCATGGGGTGGGAGTGGGGAGTCGAGGGGGATGGGGTGAGAGAACTCTTTGGGAAAAGGACAAGTTAAAGTCCCCAAAGATGGCAAACAGGAGACAGGATCTCTGCCGAGAGCTTACTACAGCCAAATTAGAAAGACTGGGTAGGAAAAAGGATCAATAAAGATAATCAAACAGGAGATTGTAAATGGATTAATATTGAAAGAAGAAGGGAGACGAGATTAAAAGAAAAGATACTCAGGATAGACTGAGTTTTGCCACTTGAACTTTTTTCTTCTTATAGACCAGGCAAGCCAAAGATTGAAGATTGACCCTGCTCTTCTGATCTTAAGTGGAAAAATAAAATGTGTTCTGTTGGGTGTGTGCATTTCAGTGCTGTTCTTCTCCTTTCAGTTTATTTAGTTCTTTCAGTTCCTGGGGAATAAACCATTTATTTATATTTGTATCTTGTGGTCTTTGAAAGACACCATTCCACCACTTCTATCTCTGTTATCCTCCATGTTCCAGGATGCCAGCTCTTCCTTGTTGTCTGTTAGGTATCAGAAATGTAGAAAGCAACAAACTCTAGTATCAGCTTCTATCAGCATCACTCTAACTCATCCCCCAAGTCTGTGTACTGTTGAACCGCTGTCACACTTTCTTCCCAGAATCACGCTTTCATAATGGTCCGATGGTCAGACCTCCTTTTTCCTTCTTATTTCTTCTCATTTCTCTTCTCTCTTTGGACTAGAACACTAGGGAAAGAAAAGATGCAGTTACTCCCTCAAAGTATGGTTTCCATGTGCTGAGGACTTGATAGAATGAACTATTTTTATGAATGGAAGTACATATGCAATTAGGGCGAGAAAATTAATTTAAGCACTTTACGATGTGGATGACATTTTTATTCTATTGTTAGAGAAGTACTAGAAAAATTAAAAGTTTTAGAAAATATGTATCTCTTCGAAGATAGCCAAGAAAACAGATGTTTAAGATAAAAACATATTGGGTGTTATTTGTGAGTGTGCTGTGTTTTGTAAGTGTGGTTTAGAGAAAGACAGCCATCATTTTAAGCAGGTCCTCGGGATGCTCTGGGCTTTAGGCAACAACTTTCTCCTTTCTGACTCTGCCCTAATTGTTTCATTCAGGATTGCTGGGAACGCCTAGCTCCAGGGAATTTGTGGTGTTTCTCACTTCCAAGCATGAAAGACTTTCCTAGGAAAAGGCAGTGTGTGCGTGTGTGTGGGTGTGTGTGTGTGTTTGTGATCAGTGTCCTGCAGAATTAGTGCCCTCCTGTTTTATAAATGTGTTTTATTTCTGGACTACATAGCACTGATATTCTGCTTATCTAGCACCAACTAGTGTTATGAGTGTTAACACCACCAAACCGAGAACAGAAAATTACTGAAGACTCTAATTATAATGGGATAATTCTCTGTTATCGTAAGTTAATTTATAATGTTTTTAAAAACAAATAATATGCTTCTTCAAAAGGGTAAAAATTACTTCCGTGCATTTACAAGTAGACAATTGGCATGAAAGATAACTGAATTTCATTACAAGTTCACCATATATTTTTCCATTTTAGGAGCAAATTCATAAATTCACATTTGGAATTTGCAATAAGGAAAAATAGGCTAATTTACCTTTCTTTACAAAAATAATTTCATGTATTCTATCTTAGGGAATGCTTGACAGGCTTCAGAGAATAAACTTTTCAAACAATCCCAAAGAAAGGGAACCATTAGATTGTTAGCGTTTATTGACTCCCTGGCCTGGTGTTCTGGGTACTGGGGATTCAGAGTTCAATAAAACAGGGTCCTTGAGCATCTCCCATTGTAGTCTGGGAGCCGATTGTCCTGATCAGAATTCAAACTGATCTTTTTTAAGCAAACCCCCTAAGGACATGAAGGAGGCATGAGCTCCACTGGCAAACCCTCTTAGCTTATTTAGAATTATGGTTGAGACTTAAAGATAACTGTTCTCTCATGTATGCTCTGCTCTCCAATTAGTGCCGACAGCGAGCGTGTGCTCTGTTAGGCCGTCACTGCATTTAGCACTTTTCTGAATTAGGTCATGGCTTTGCTGGGGCAGCAGAGGGAGTCACTCTCAGAAGAAACATTAAAATTACAGGCTGCAGCCACTTCAGGAAGATAATGGGGACAATAGTGAGGGTGGTGATTGAGCCAGGCTCTTGCCTTGCACTTTTAGCCTATATCTTTTTTAGTTTGACTTTTATATTTGCAGCAGTTAAAAATAAACCTGTTCACATTTCCCCACAAACAAGAAACCCTGTTAGCTCATTTGGATAGCCTATTGCATTAGTAGTAAAGTTCTCAGCAAACAATTATTGTGCACTTACTATGTCCCAGACTGTGTGCTCTTTGTTAGGGACACAGAGTTGAAGGAGAGAGTTTCAGCCCTCAGGGAAGACAGACTTGTCAGCCTGTAATTATAATTCACTTTCTGAATCTAGCAGTGGGCACAGGTATGGGACTTTCTAGATTGAAGCCTCCAGAGATGGTAAACATAGGTCAGGCTAGGGTTCCAGTGTGAGTGGTGGTGGGGAGTTTCCAGGTTTCTACACAGAGCAACTGAAGAGTGGTAGTTTGGTTGGAAGTGGGATGTTCTTAAAGCCAAGTTTGCATTGTGACTGTCTTCTATTAAATACTACTTAGATTTAATATATGCTGGTCTGTCTTTGGGGAGGCACAAGCTTAAGACTCTTAGTGATGTGTGCCCATTCAGCCAGTTAGTTTATTGGCTACCACTGTCTCGTAATCCTGCCTCCACCATCTCCTAGCTGTATGGCCATGAGTGAGTTAATTAGTGTCTGTGTGCCTCAGTTTCCTCAGATGTAAAATGAAAGTAATATACACTGTTGTCACGTTAGGATTGAATGAATTAATGCATGTAAAGTATTTAGAGCAGTATTCTTTGGCTTCCAACTCTGTAAATCACTGGCAAAGAAATCTAGAAGTTAAAGAAATTAAAGGTCAATAGTTTTGAACTCAGAGTGGAGATTGCTGCTGACACTGCTTTCCCCAGGGCAGCAAATGGAGCTGTCTGAGGAGACGTTCCACGGTGGCCCACTGCAAACTCCTGGGCTGTGCGTGGTTCTTTGAACAGCCTGTGGGAAGCTCTCTCCCTTCACAGCCTCATTTCTTCCTTTCTGCTCTCTCTGGGAAAGTTAACCTAATACTCGCTCTCAAACTGCCGTGTTAGGTCATTGCCAGTTAAGTCCTGGCTATAAGCTCTACTCTTGACTTTCTATCTTTATAATGAATATTGAAAGATAACTTTTCATAAATCCATAAACACTTTTATGAAAAAAAAAAAAAGGTCAAGCCCCAGGATTTCAGATAAGGGTTTGGGGAAAATCAGCATTTTATGCAAATTCAATAGTTTTCTTAAAAAAAAAATAGACACAGTGTATAGTTTAAAGAACATTGCAAATATGTTAAAACAACCCAAAGAAACATATGGAAAAATAGGTTGACTTGAAGGCAAAGCAAATTCACCAGGACTTTCATATATTCAAACCACACTTGCAATAGAAAGTTTTAGTATCACAATTTAGAACAACGTGGACAATCTAGATAATGTATATTTTGAAAGGTTCACATTTAATTACTTCTACTTGTTTAATGGTTATTGGTATTTTTTTCATATTTGATGCAACTGTTGTTTTCTGGCTAACTTGTAAGATAAAACTAGAGATTTGTGGGGCTTTTTATGTTGTTAAACTTAAGACAGATCTTTCTCCTACAGTAGTTTCATTCTGCTTTTAATTTTTGATTGCCTGGTCTGCACTTACAGAGCCCCAAATTTCTTACTCTCTTTCTTTTTTAATGTAACTTCTTGTAGCTACATATGGGCCCTTCTTTGACTTCATATTTTATTTGTTTTCTTTATTGCTTTTGTATTTGTGGAGGATGGCTCTATGAATCTGAGACCTGGGTATTGTCCCAGTATCACTTACTTCAAGGATGTTTGAACTAGAACAGAAACTCAGTGCTATTTTTTATGCAACTTTTTTGAAGTAGAGTAAGTTTGCCTTGAGCGCTATTAAAATACTAGCCTCTTCTTTTTCTAGTTCTTAAAAAGAAATCCAATAATTGAATAATTTATAGTTTCTCATTTTAAGTATTTGTCGTCTCCAAATTTATGGAGATTTTAATAACAAAACATTTGATAGTAACAATTTTATGAGCTAACAAGATCAGAAATAGTAAACATTTTTATCTTCTCTACCCGATTAGACTTCTCAGAAGAATTTCTACCTTTTCATGAAAACCCAAAACATATATTAAGTTGCAAATACTTGGACTCTTTATGAACAAAATGTTATAAAATATTGTGTTATAATTTCAGAATTTAAAAAAGTTTGGGGTTGAAGTTGTAGTATAGTTTCTCAATTTCGGTATTTCTGCCCCTCAAAAAGTTGCTCCCTTAGGATTATATAATGACGTTTTGAAATATACAGAAGGATGTTTCTAGATTTCATAGGTGCTTAAAACATATCTAGCCTTCCACTCAGAGTTCATTGTGTTAGAGTTACTGTGATATTCATTAAATTGAAGTTATAATTTAGAAAGTGAGCTATAGCTTTGAAAGTGCCCTATATGCAGATATTTGTCCTTATGTCAGTAATCCTTTATTAGCAGTGAGCTGTGGCAGATGTGAAGTCTAACATCCGAAAACCCCCGTGTTTGGGGAATACCGTGTTTTCCTTAAATAACCGACCATAGCTCATTGCCGGTGGGTGGTGGAACGTTGGGGACAGGAGCCAGGTGGGCCCTGATGATAGTGATGTGCCTGCTATGGTTCTGACTTTGACTGTGAGGGCCCAAAGCAATCATGGTAACAAATGATGTGGATTAATCAGATTTAACTCCAGAGTGATCAGTCATCTTTATTTTAAAATGTCGTGAGGATAGGGGTTTTGCCTCTGTTAGTCATTGTCATTTGGGTCCTGTGGCTAGTTTCATTTCTCAGCAATTATGAGAGCCATAAAAATGCCTCAGGTAGATGAACATGTGTTATCTGCTCTTCTAACTAAGGACGTGAAACAACAGAAACTCTCTCAGCACATTTAACAGGTTTATTGATGAGCGCTGCCATTTCTCAGTTTTAGTCAATGTCTTAATTGATTCTTTAATCACGGACTGCTTGAACTCAACTATAATTTATTGTTTTCTCTTTTTTTCCTATTCAGAAGGAAAACCTTATATATGAACATTCTTTTCCAATAAAAACAGATTAGTGCTTGCATATTAAAAAATATTTGCAGCCCCGTTGTAAGAATAAATATGTTCCTGAGTGGAAATGCTGGCGTTTTTCAAAGTTCAAGAAAATCAGCATATACAATAATATAAAAGAGCAGCTAGAAGTAAAGTATACCGTTTGTATAGAAAAGTAATCACTTTAAATTAATTCATAATGTACTTTCTCTTAGACAACAGAAGTTTACTGCAGAATGGTAGGGGGTGTGGTATAATAATATCCACTTATAATTATAGGCATAGTGAATTATATTGATAACGTAAGATAAAAACTAAAGGGAGCAATTTTAGACTATTCTATTCCCTATGAATTTGCAACTTTGCTACTTGTATTAAGATTGAATATTTTAAATCATTCTAATATCTTTTTGGAATTTCAAGAACCTAAAAAAATCCTTTCAAAACTAGGTCAAAGAGGACTCTTTAGCAAATGGTATTCTCAAAATTTACAGGAAATAAAAATGATAGTG